TTGTTGCATAAGAAATACATATAAGCATTTGTTGTGTGCTAAAAATGTATGTACCTATTTACCTAGGTAAATTTTCAGATTCTTCTAGCAATGGCAAAGTAGGGTTATTTAGTTTACGGATCCAAATAAATCAAATGTCAATTTCTAATATCATACGTAATAGACGTCATATTTTTACATGACATGATTAAATATCGGGGTAAAAAAACACAAAAATGGGATCAATTTGGATCAGTCATTATATCATCCAGGCATTAGAAAACCTGAAAAAGCCCACACTGCTTTGATACTTTATTACAATCAGACATGAACTACCAGGGATATTTTCAAATAACTGCATCTGATGGGCATCCACCCTGGTGTACAGGTAAGACTCATAAGACTGGATATTGTGCTCATTGTATCATGTGTGTGTCTCCGCGTGGTTAAAACAATGTTTCATTTCATTTGATAAATTAGAATGTCTATAGAGTACCTTGTATATAACAATCTGATCTAAAAACACTACAACCTAAACACAGTTAACTTCATGTTATCAGTTAAGCGCATTTGTTCATCAGCAGGTATTTCAGTCGACCTTAAACTTTTGTTAGAAGGAAGTGCAGACCTATCATGTGAAAATGCAAAAGTATTCAAGTTAGTGCAATCGTTCATTAGTGAGACTAAACGATGTGTATAGCATATTGATATTATTCTGTATAAGCTCTAACTCTTTTTACTTATTCTACTTTCTTGTCCACTATCTGTCATCTTTATTTGCGGAAATCTAAATTACCTATGTACATACCAAGGAGACGGTATTCTAAGTTGGAGAACTTGTTTCTAAAGTACTGTCGGAAATTTAGGCTGTTTTTAGGCTGTTGCTCTGTATCACTAAAATTTACACAACTGCAAATAGCATGTCAAAATAACCCCCATCGGCCTAACTGGGCGTTCAGGGGGGATGCGTAACAGGATATCCAGAAAAGCATGTTTACTCGTAAAATCGGGCAAAATACGAATAGCTGCTGAAAACAATAGATCAGACTATAGATGGCAATTAGGTCGCTCAGCCAAGTATGACGACGGACCGTCGACTCACATGGCATGAAGTGCACGTGCTGCCCACAGGCACAAGGGGTCATCTCAAAGATATTCTATGTTTTTTCATGTGTATTGAATATGACTCTATTGATTATCTTATGTAGCTAATATCTCTATCCCCCAGCCTGACCCCAACCACCGTCTGCGACACCCGTCCTGGTTTTGCTTTTGAGACGACCCCTCCTACCTGCTTCTTTTTATAGTGATAGTGAGACGCTACATCCTTAATAGTTTCAGTATTAAAGTTATTATTTTTTACGTCTGCTATCGTTTATAATGAAGCTATTCAAGCTTAGTCTAATTTCAAAATGATCATTTAAAAAGTGTCCTTTGTAATACAATATCATCGCACACTAATTTGCATACAGCCATGGGCTGTTCTGAATAAGTCGCATTGGACATAGAAAAAAACATTCGTCACCACTCGCCTCTTTCCGTAACCTCGCTATTCGGCTTGTCCCGGAAGTTGGTCACGAAAGGGAAAAAGGTTCAGGCTCATAACGCCGACCTTTCGACCAAACTTTACGGTTGAGTGAAATATAAAGGTCGACGTCCTGAGACTAGTTTCATTTTGCCAATTAATAATGGATCACGAGGACAATGTAGGATCAAAGAGTTGTTAGAAGAGGATAATCCGGATTATGCGGATGAGAGCGCACCTAATGAGAAGATGACAACAGATGACAGATTTTTATCAGTTGACAGATTTTAGCATTTTTAATAAATACATCGTAAATTCCTATAGCATACATTTTTTCACAGATTTTAACCTAAATGCAATTTGTGGGATGCTGAATCAGCAAACTGCCTTACAGTGTTCCTTGTTCAAGCCGGTGACAAATGTCATCCAGTCGTCGCTCCAAATCCCTGTATTTTGACTTCTTGGACGGACGATTCTGGCCAGCCGCATACTCGACCAGCTTGTTTTCGGTGTTGGTCTGTTCTCGTGACAGCAACGACGCAATCTCGAAAATGTTTGGATGAGCCTTGCCGACGTATTTCTTCAGGCGTGAATGCCACCCTTCTAGGTGGTTGTTTGTTCTTGGCCCATCTGTGTTGTGGTGGTTCCATTGCGTCATGTGCAGATCTCCCTCCACCCAGAAGTTGGTCATGTAGTCTCCGAGTTGTCGGCAGTGGTCTTCAACAGTCTTTTGCAGTACATATTCAAGATATCCAGTCTCGTTTTCTCTTGCTGACTCTGTACAATAACCCGCCAACAACCAAGTAACGACCGCCGCGAGCTGTAGGGATGAATCTCTGATCGAACTGTGCATTTGCCATAGATATTTATACCAAAGATATGAACAGTGTTCAGTATTGGCACTCTACTAAAGTGTTATTGTAAACTTTTCAATCAAGTATAAGACAAAATATTATGGATGTCAACTTGACTTGACTTGTTGACTTGAAAGTGACATGTGCGACGAGCTCACCTTATCAAAACATCTAGAGTAGGTTATCCGCAACGCTAATTAAGCCTAATCAGAACCTAACCTTCAAAGGAAACCGCAGGTCGGCGTCCTGAGACTAGTGGAAAAATCAAAAGGTCGGCGTCCTGAGACGACACCGAGAAAAAACCCGCATTGCTGATTTCTGCACTAATCTCTCATCAGTAAAATCCTTCTTTTACGTTTCCTATCTCCCTCCCACTGAGACTGTAGTTAGGCCGAACTTAGTTTAACAAATATTTCACACTTTCGCATATTAACTACCTAAATTGTAGATATAAATGTGAAAAAACATTTTTTTTCGATTTCCGACAGTACTTTAATCCTTTTCTTAGTGAATAAAATAAGTTTAAAACAAAACGTGAACACTGAAACAAATACAACAGGCTATATGTAAGTCGGAGCATGGGAGTAACATAAATGAATACACCATAAATATAGCAACAAAACCGCTTAGTCTAGATCTACTTGTACATGGTACATGAACAACCTGTTCATTGATCCAGGGGCGGATACAGCATTTTTAAAAAGGGGGGGTGCATACTATTGAGAAAAGGGAGGGTGCACATTTCATATCCACCCGAGTTTCAATGGTCATTTAATAAAATTTCAGAACAAAAGCGGGATCCGCATGTGATCCATGCGTATATTTCATCTCGGATGGACTACTGCAACTGTCTACTCTATGGCCTGCCTCAATCCTCAATAAGAAAGCTCCAACGCGACAGAACTTTGCTGCTAGACTTGTCTCCAGATCACAGAAATACTCTCACATAACTCCTGTTCTGCAGAGATTACATCGTCTTCCCATATCAGAGAGAATCAAGTCCGAACTCAACCTTTTTGTTTTCAGATGTCTCAATAACATAAGCTCTAAAGTGAGTGAGTTTAGTTTTACGCCACACTCAGCAATATTCCAGCTATAGGGGGGCAGTCTGCAAATAATCGAGCCTGGACCAGACAATCCAGGGATCAACAGCATGAACATCGATCTACGCAGTTGGGATACGATTACTAAAGACCAATTGAAACCCGGACCTTCACGGGTCCCTAGCTCCAAAGAATCTCTCTGGTCTGGTCACCAGATGTCAGCTTAACCGAAATCTTCGATCTGAAAATCTTGGTCGTGTACCAGGTTTGGGGATCGATCATTTCAGGTGGCAGGACCCACTCTCTGGAATCAACTTCCACTGGAGTTGAGGACAATTAACAACCTGAAGATTTTCAAATCTAAACTAAGGACATACCTTTTTAAGAAAACATACATTGTCTAACTTTTCCTTCTCTAGTTCAATAGTCATTTAATAAACTTTCAGGACAAAAAGTGGGGGTGCGCACGCCTGCTCTCTCTCACACACACACACACACACACACACACACACACACACACACACACACACACACACACACACACACACACACACACACACACACACACGGACCCTTCTGGATCCGCCCATGAGAATGTTTGATTTTGATTGTTGAAAACAAGTGAGTAAATGAGTTTAGTTTCACACCGATATCAGCAGTATTCCTGCTATATGGCGGTGGTCTGTGAATAATCGAGTCTTGACCAGACAATTCAGTGATGACATATGTCAACCAAGTCAGCGAGCCAGACCGGTCCACCCGATCCCGTTAGTCGCCTTTTACGACAAACATGGGTTACTGAAGATCAATTCTGACCCGGATCTTCACGGGTGTGTTGAAAACAAAATTAAAATGGTTTCCTGTGCTCGGTTCCAGCTTAGAATAAGAAGTATAGAATCTACAATAAGACTGCCTCAAATTTCAAATCCGGGGCATATATCTCCCAAATGAACTATGCACGTTGCAGAAAATGACACACCTGTAACCAGAGACCATATAATATTATATGGTCTCTGCTGTAACCTGTTGCCGGCCCTCGCAGTTCGTATCAACCACGAACAAAAAGTAGCAGAGACCTGTCCACAGCTTTAGTAATTATTTACAGCCACAATGTCACTCTCGTCTAGTAACTTTATGTCAACCTCGACTCTAATGTGTATCACGTATCTAGTCATAGCCTGCTGACTTTGATGGATTAAAATATCGGGGCGTTATTGATAATGATGAATTGGGTCATGCGAATATTATCGTTATCGGTTATGGTTTTCTTTGAACATGATGAAATACTTCAGGCCGGGGAGCAATGCCAGCCTGTGCAACATATATATAGTCTCCCTTGTGCAACAAATAGTATATTCTCCATGGCCAGCTCTGTAAACAAAAACCTGACACTTTCAATTTCAAATCCCTTTGTATAACCATTTAAACAGTACGTTCATGTTTCATGCGTTTGTTGAATTTGATTTCAAAGAATTGACATAAAAATGATTATACAACTAATAATAATGCATTAGATTATGGAATGAGTATGAAACTGATGTTTTAGCGGTTTCCCATATCGACGGAGTTATCTTCCTTGCATGACTCTCTATGCAGCGTCCTTGACATTGATTACAAGCTGATGCAACTGCAACCATGTGAAATTTTCGCCGCTTCGCGATTTATTTAACTTACGATTTAAGTATACGATCTCCAGTTCGTGGCCCAGATTGTGTTTTTGATACAAAGTTACTGTGTTTGGTAATATTTCAAGCAAACAGTCATGGCAGATGAAGAGTTGGTGAGTAAATCTTGTTGGCTCGATGTCTGATCTTAAGCAATATGGCGGCGTCCATATTGAACATTTTCGGGCACGTGTGGTGAACAGATGAAAGTGGATTATGTTACATTCTCAACAGAATTCTGTTCAAATCTATTCATTCATTGTGAGAAATGTATATGTTGCAAACGAAATTTATTTCCGAAATTATAGGTGTGAAGTAAAGGTTTCGCAATCTGCGTAAACATGTTAGGGACAGATCGACATGATCCGGCTGTTTTAGGTGTGTAGGTTAGGTATTTTAGTATATTTCGATAACACAAACGCATCGGTTAACTACGTAATATTAACGCCTGTTGATGATTAACTTCCTTGGTTTACTGCGTAAAAGTTGAACAGCTGTTCAAGACCTTGATCATACCTTTGAGCATTGTTGAGTTCCAAATTGACAAATAGGGATATGTTCGATCGTACATAACAGATTGTAGATACAAACATGGGGCGTATATTGATATCAGTACTTTTTGTCTGGTGTAAAATATTTGTTATGACAAATGTAAACATTGTCGACATGTGTACCACTAGCCTCTCAAATGACCCAAATCAACAAAATATCTCGAATACTTGGCTTCATATTTTCCCTGAAGGATATATTACTATATAGTATTTGCGGTATTCTTATCAAAGATAATGTGTTGCAAGTCATAGAATCGTTGCTCTCTGCTACTGCGCCTTATGCATGAAATATGGTGGTAACAGATGGTATGAATTAGTCTGCTGTTAGTTATAGTAACTTATGCCGTGCATGCTGTTCACATTCATTATATAAAACCAAACCTTTCTCTAACCTTTTTGACTGATTATTATGGATTAAAAGATGTAGACACATTTACAGTGAACTCAGTAACTTTGGATCCTTTTCCGCTTGCCTTTTGCAATGTTTGTTTTTCACATTCTTGCCCCTAAGGCAACGACTGCTGGATGCTGTATGCGACCTCACAGATTCTGTCAGAGAGCAGAAATGTGATAACCCCAAACTATGTATGTCATTGTTGTCAGTAATTGTCTGAAGAGAGGGTTTTCAGAATAACAAGAGTCAAGACTAAACATGCTGAAATGTTTCACTGTATTTCAGTGTATTGCTAGGACCATGACATGAGTATGACTATAAGTATTGGAAATCAACATTTACAATTTAATACAAAGTGTATGAGGCTATAAACATAACAACTAACCATAGGTCTTGTTAAAATCAAGGAACATAGCTGCAAATGACTGAACATATGATCATGAATCAACTGTCATAATATCTTTCCAGCCCCTCTTTGATCCTAATTTGAAAAAGAAGAAGAAAAAGAAGAAGACTCCATTTGATCTCGATGCGGCCATGGGGGAGAACGAGAGCGGGGCGGCTGATGGAGCGCCTTCGGCTCCAGCTGAAGAGGCAGTGGAGGAGCCAGCCGAGAAACCGGACGAAGGTGGGTGATTTGGTGAAGTGTAAATGGTTGGAGATGCCGTTGAAGCTTTTGGGAAGTATGGCCGAAATAATGCGTTCTGTTTTTAGTTATAGGAAGCCTGGAGCAAAAAAATAAAATGCTTGATTGATGCATACTATTCTTGGATAAAACAATGAGCAAGCTATCCCCTGAGCCATCCCTCCTTCTCAGCACATCCGCATGGATGCTTCTCAATTCTAAGTAGCACAGCATTCTGAGCACCTCATTGACTTATGTGTCAAATAAAAACCCTAAACTAAACTGTCAGTTCCAAATGGTATGTGATAAAGGCTGCACTATGATGTGGAAATTTGAGATTTTCTCCCAGCTCTTGTAAATGGCATGTAAAAGTAGTTAAGCACTCTACAACTAAACTTGTTGACCGTGTCATTAACTCCACCCTCAACCCAGCACCCAAACCACCACTAGCAAGCCCGACTCCGCTCCCATTCACATCTCACTACCCTTCATCGGCAAAACTTCACATCACATCAGTTGCTTACTTAGACAGCAAGCAGGCATCAGGGGTGGAAATAACCCATTGCCCGACTCCCGAGTCCAGTGTTTTTTTCTGTCGGGCAAGCAAATTTGTATATCACACTGTACCGGTATCCAGTTGATATTCCAATGTTAGTTATGTTGTTAATTTAAAAAATCAACAAGAAAACGGCCGGTATAGTGGAAAAATTATCAGGGCAAGTGATTTTACATGTGCCACTATACCGGAGTACACTAGCAATTTTAAAGTTATTTCCACCCCTGGGCATAGACACATACTTCTCCACGGCCACGTCTTTCCAAACTATCAATGATCATTAAGGCAAACGGTAGGAAACACACTACAAAACAAAAACAGCCCAAAGGTGTGGTCTACAACATCAGCTGCGACTGTGGCAGCAACTACATTGGTGAAACATCCAGACCACTCAACATACGCATCAAAGAACATGAGACATCCACAAACAAAGCAGACACCAAATCAGCCATTTCGGAACACATCACCAACTTTCCTCAACACAACATCAACTGGGACACTGTCAAAACACTTGCAAACAACAAACTTGATTACACTCAGCGGAAATTGGCCGAAGCATTACAAAAACGACATTTTAAGCCCTCTATTTATAGAGATCAAGGCTATTACATCCCCTCAGCTTACAACCACCTAATCCACAAATAATTATCCACTCAACCCACTCTGGCTTCTCATCAACCTTCATACTCACATTCCTCACCACTGGCTTCTCACTAATTAATCCCCCCACCACCTTGGCTTCTGCATAATTAACTTACATTCACGAAATGTCATGGTAATCCCACTCATCTCATTTTGTTATCTTCAGCTCATCATCATGTCATTGTAGCTCATCATGTAACTTTCTTTGATGCTTTGTTTCCCCACCTTTGTTATTGTTATCCCATTATCTTATCTTGTATATAAACTGGTGTACCCCATCATTCCCCCATATGCTTGAAGACGGTATAAGAACCTATACTGAAATGTCGCTATTGTTAAAATAAACAAGTTGATCATCCATAAAGTTGTGTCATCTCCACTGTACATAGTTTTCAAGGCAATTGGCAATGAAGCTGAATTATTTTTAGAATGTTTTTAAACCTGACATATGCACAGGATGCATCTATAAAACGTTCAAAACATGTTTTGATCATTGGACAGCGTTTGTTAAAACTTCACATGACTTTGGAGATTGTTTGAGATAAAACAAATGTTTATCATTAGGAATACCATCAGAGATATTAATGAGATGGTATCATGCATCCTGACTCCTAGACTCAGAGTTTACTTGAATGTATTTATATCATGCTGTATTTTCAAATTGTAGAGGTATTTGGAGGATTAAAGAAGAAGAAAAAGAAGAAGAAGCCATTTGACTTGGATGATGTTGGAGATGCTTTGCCGGTGAGAGAAATAATTACATTAACTTTGTATAACATAGTGTTTCCTCATTCCTTGACTATGCTTTGTGTATCAAGACCCCAAATATCACACACATGATTGTCTAGTCCAAACTGAATTATGTACAGATCACCTTCTGTCTCATTGTAATAAAGACATTGTTCAGCCATATTATCCTTACTTAATACTAATTTCATGTTTTGTTCCCAAGTACTATGCCATTTTACTTTTTTTAACCTGTTTGTCCATTTCATTCTGTTAGTAAGATTGAAAAGTAATCAAGTTTCTATTTTCTCTTGTGAAGGTTAAATTCTGATAAATTCCGTTAAATATAGCTCAAACATCTTTGTCTATGATAAAATTTCCTTCTAGCGCCAGTCTCATTTGAGCATTTTTAGTTAATTTTTTTTCATAAACTGTTTCCATCTGAACATTTTTCGACCGCCATATCAGTACACCGCCATTATACAAACATTTCATCAGGCTATCATGTATGAGCTGATCGCTGTGTATAGTGGTCTCTACATATCAAGGTGCTATAATTAAGGAATGGAATCATGATCCCCAGTCGGCAGCGTTATATCGAGGGTTGGTTTATGTTGCATCACATTGTGATTTCATCAGATTTTATGGTGTATATAACTGTTAGTAACCAGCACAGTTCATCAGTTATAGTAGTTATACAGCTTGGATCACGTTAGAGGAATACAGTCAGAATTGGATGAACGAGATAGGAAGTTAATTGAGGAATATTCTAAGTGTTGTGTTCATATTTACGATGAAGGTGAAGAAGAAAACCCGCTTCATGGTGTGTATTTTGATTTGTTTCAAGTATTGTGGCGGAGGTTTGTTTTTGTCTTTTGAAATAGCATGTTTGTAATATTCATAATCATATCATCATGTGACCTGGGGGGGCGGTGGGGTAGCCTAGTGGTTAAAGCGTTGGCTCGTCACGCCGAAGACCCGGGTTCGAATCCCCACATGGGTACATTGTGTGAAGCCCATTTCTGGTGTCCCCAGCCGTGATGTTGCTGGAATATTGCTAAAAGTGGCGTAAAACCATACTCACTCACTCACTCACTCATAAGACCTGCCCAGTTGATATTTACGAGATTGGCTCAGTGACAAGTGTAATTGGTAGCTTTTCACTTGTTGGATGAAATAAACAAGCTATTTGACAAGAAATTATGAATGTTATATTTATATGTATTTTCTTTCTGATCTCTGTTCATGACTTTATGTACAGCTAATATATATGATAAATATTTGACTCATTACCATCGATTTCATCATGTTACTGGTATAGTACAGTTAATAGTATGATGAAATACATAAGCAATAAAGTTAGGTGTCAGGTATATTGTTTTGAGTAAACTTCAGTCTCCGTTCTACTAACTGTACCTCATCGTCACAGCGGGTTAGGTTGCTGAGTACTGTGGTCTGGCGATTAGGGGCCTGACTCTGACTCGTCTGAGAGGGTGGGTTTGAATCACGTGTAAGACTCAATCTACGGGCTACTAGAATCTGTACTTCTTTGAGAAAGAGTTATCCCAAATATAACATAAGTTACATTTGGCCAATTTCTGAGTAGCATTTTGTATTCATGACAATTTCTTCACTAGCCTTTAAATGCAATATTTGAAATTGTCTGTAAGGCATAGTTTAACAAGCTCATTATACCCAAAGCAAAGTATGAAATACAAATATGGGTAATGTTGATCAAGATAATTGTCTTTGAGAAATGTTTGGTTCAACAAAGATAAAATTAACAACTGTATGGTGCTTGACACCTGTGTGTCTAGAAGCTCTTTTCTACTAGAAATTTCTGTTCTGCCAAGGTTGTTACTTCATACTTGGTTGTTTAATGCCACAGTGAGTATTTTGCGGCTATGTGAAAGCCTGTATATAATTGAGTCTGGACTAGACAAACAAATTACCAGAATAGAGAAAAGATAGTGAAAAGGTAATGATCTTACCTAAAATGTCAAAGACTTTTAGTTCTTACTAATATCTTAGTACTGATACCACATGTACAGAACCTGTAACCATGGTTACACTTTCAATGAGTTGAATGACACTTTTTCTCGTGCAGGACGGTGGGGAGGGAAGTGAAGCTCCAGGGCAGAACGAGGGAGATGAGGGCGGGCCGAGGGATGAAGCAACAGACGAAACATTTTCCCTGGACTTCTCCATCAAGAAGAAGAAAAGAAGGAGGAAGAGGGTGGACTTTGGAGAGCAGGGTGTGGAGGAAGAGGTGGAGGATGGTAAGTTTCCAACAAGAATTGTAATTTGTCACAGGTATAATGTGACCATTTGTATATTGAATGAGCAGAAGTATTAACTTGCACAGCAAAGTTCGAAGAAAAGCTTTTATGTCCTTGTCATAATCCTAATAATCAAATCAAGACTTTTCTAGTCATTAATACAATTATAAAAATGCCCCCTGGTACCCTGTTTTAGTGTTTATTTATTTGAAATTCATAGTTCCGTATCCATATCTTGTTTATTTTATTTCAAACATTTTGTGAGCAATAAGAGTAAGAAATGAGTTGATGAAATGTTTAAAAGTAGAATGGAGGCATCAGACCTCTACCTGTATAATCCACATGGGAATGGAGTTTTGTGTGCAGTGTTTGAATGGAGTGTATTCATGTCTTTCAACTCAGGGAACCCTAAGTAAATCCTCTTTTAATATTATGGTTTATATGACTGGGCGTTCATGCTCAATTTTAAACCATGCATGTGTGCACATAAGGGCTACAAGGAGTCCAGTATGAGGCAAATTGATACAATCATGTATATTGGTAATGGATACAATTATTGGTTAATGAGTACCAGAACAAGTCAGCAGTTGATGTATTTTCTGATTTATATTGAAACAATATCAAAATGATTCTTTGACCTGCTTTAATCATGTTGACAGTGTCAATGACCAGTGATGACATATAGTCAAAGTAGATGTACAAGAGTGTTGAATATTTTCCTGCCTGTCTTATTTGACTTCCTTATTGTATAGACCCGTGAAGGTCCCGGGTTAGAATTGGTCTTCAGCAACCCATGCTTGCCACAAAAGGCTTACTCTAAAACCGTGTTGTCGTAAGAGGCTTACTAACGGGATTGGGTGGTCAGGCGAGCTGACTTGATTGACACATGTCATCGGTTCCCAATTGCGCAGATCGATGCTCATGCTGTTGATCACTGGATTGTCTGGTCCAGACTTGATTATTTACAGACCTCCACCATATAGCTGGAATATTGCTGAGTGTGGCGTAAAACTAAACTCACTCACTCACTCCTCTTTGTATACCTAGTTTTGATAAATAACACTCAAATTCAAGTAGAAACTCTCATTTTCATAAAATTCATGAATATTTGATTTACTTGGTAAAAAATAATGAATTCAAGTCATAGAGGGATATGGTTGGATTCACTGAATACGTGAGTGAATCGTAACAGCCTTAGTGCACAAAACAAAAAGGATTTACAACATTGACAGCGAGTCCTTCCTGGATATACCATTGTTATCATTTGATACTGATGTGAGTAAGGGAAAACAACAGACACATCAGCTACACTTCAATTGCTACTGTAAAGGATGCTACAGTATCATTAGTTTTGAAAGTTCTTATCACTACGAATGGAATTATCTAGGGGACACAACATGGTGAATACATTTTGTTGTACTGTTGCAGAGGAAATAACCGATAAGGATGGAAAACCTGGGGATACCAAATCATGGATTGGTTCTGACAGGGATTACACATATGATGAGGTGAGATATTGAGATGACACGAGCAAGTGTGTCATACGACTTGCACCCGACTTGTACAGAAACAATGGTTGCTAGGAAAAAGTGATATGTGCACATGTGCTCATATGATATATATGACACCGGTTAGGTTTCACCATATGGGTAATAAAGCTGGCTTCTGTTTACTTACAGTATTATTAACCTGTGAAAATATACTATGAAAAGTCCTTGTTTGTGAACTTTCGTTTTGAACAAAAGTAACAAAGAACAATTTTTGATGAACTCTATTTCAAGTCTTTAAGATTCGGAATTATTTGTTTACAGCTTCTGACACGGGTATTTGACATAATGCGGGAGAAGAACCCTGACATGGTTGCCGGGGAGAAGAAGAAGTTTGTCATGAGACCACCTCAGGTGCTAAGGGTTGGCACCAGGAAGAGTTCCTTCGCTAACTTTGCAGATATCTGCCGATTGTAAGTACATGATCACAAATCAGTGTCTGTGGGAACTAAAATAATGTTGTATCGCAGTGTTCAAGTGGTAAACACTGACAAATCATTACATCACTTACATCACATGGGCGGTGGGCACATAGCCTAATGGTTAAAGCGTCGGCTCGTCATGCTGACGACCCGGGTTCGAATCCCCACATGGGCACAATGTGTGAAGCCCAATTATGGTGTCCCCCGCCGTGATATTGCTGGAATATTGCTAAAAGCGGCGTAAAACCCAACTCACTCACTTACATCATTATGTAAGGAAATGAGGCTGGGCACATTCCACTGACGAATCTCAGTACATACTTCAGTTTTGACTTTAGGAAACTGTAATTGAAAGACCACTTTGTGAAATGGGTCTACATGGCTGCATTTTAGTTCAGTCTCATTATGTTCAGGTCTCTTACTGCCAATTCCATATGGTCTCTTTTTGATATCGCAAAATATCTTCCATGGCAAATTTGTTTGGTAATTTTGGTCCACATTTCTCGTTTCAGATTACATAGGCAGCCAAAACACGTGCTGGCCTTCTTGTTAGCTGAGTTGGGTACAAGGTGAGTTGCTGGCAATACACTATATAGGTTCCTTTCCTTGGGGAGTGCAATGTTGTTGATTCTATGGAATAAACATCATTAGTTAAACTTCGATCCGTCAAAATACTCAAGATGTCTAATTCTTAGTTTAATATGTAAATCTATGATATAACTATAAGCAATAATGAGTAAATCGAACACTGGTGCTGATTGGTGGATAGGTAGGAATAAAAAATAAACCCTTCTTGGCAGCCAATCAGAAATAAGTATGATTTCAATGCAGAAATCATGTAGCTATAGCAGATATATATTCATTACAACTTCTAACTGATCAGTTACCACCTACAGTTTTTATTTGATATACCTGGATATAAGCTAATGGGTATGTCATTGCTGTTCAAAACATTGACCATGACGTGTGTTACTATTAGTTTTCTGAAAATGCTATTTTTGTCCAAGCACAGTAATTATTTCTTGCTGAAAAGGGTTGGCACCTCTGTCGGAGTAGTAAAAGCAGACACACCCACATGCATATCGATCCTGCCGTGATATTGCTGGAATATTGCTGAAAGCGGCATAAAACTAAACTCGCTCACTCACTCCCCAATTTCCCCAAATCTGTCGTGCAGCAATGCAGGTTTAGACTTAACAAGCCAAACAGATTGGTAGATGTTGGTTGGTATTTTTGAACCTAATTGTATTCAAATTTAATTGTTATGTTTCCAAATATTAATATGCAGCAGAGCACAAGGTACAAATTATTGTCATGTTAACCTGTTTTCATGTAACATTGTTTTATAACTGAGTAATTTGATCTAATATGCTCTGTGTGACTGTTTCAGCGGATCTGTCGACGGCAACAACCAGCTGATCATTAGAGGGAAATATAATCAAAAACAGATAGAAAATGTTCTTAGGCGATATATAAGTAAGTACAGCGTTATATTTGTAACAATTGTGACAGCTGGAAACAACAGTTTTTTTACCAGTTGTCATTTGCTTTTCAAATTTTTATCAAAGAAAAAAAATCAGATATTTTATTTATTGTTGGCATTTAGTGTTTATTTTATTGAGACATAAATGTCAAACTCTATCATAAATATCTGCTGGTTAACACCCTTTCAATAGTAATTTTTGTTAATGATTAAATAATACTAGATTTTAGAGACCCTTTTAATTTCACACCCTTCAAATACATCAGGATTATGAAAATATTCACTGTATAATTGACGGAAGTGCAATTCGAAATTTATCCTGTATTTAGAGTATATATTCATTTTCAAGATACAGAAATCAAATATGCTTGTGTGAAGTTTTCGCTGACTCATGCCCAAAAATGTGTAAGCCACTGTCCTGAAGAGCTAAAGAGAATGTTGATTGGATGTGGCATGGGTAGGTGTCTGCAAAACTTCGCACAGTGAGGTAAAAAGATCTTATTTGATGATGTATTTTCTCCTCACTCCACAGATCACTTGATATATGTTTAATGATATGCAGTACTTCATTGTCAAAGATTTATCACTCAATAATCGTATGTTTTTGCAGAGGAGTATGTGACATGCCACACTTGTCGATCACCGGACACGCTGCTACAGAAAGACACACGGTTGTTCTTCCTGCAGTGCGAAACGTGTGGATCCCGCTGCTCCGTAGCCAGTATCAAGTCTGGTTTCCAGGCCGTCACAGGCAAGAGAGCAGCTATCAGAGCCAAGACTTCCTAAATCACCCTTCTTCTTTACGAGGAGTACAGAGGTGTTTTGCGTCATGTAAACAAGTTGACAGATTCTTGGATATATTCTCGATGACTGGATGGTGAATTTGATATTTGTGATCCAAATACACTGGGCTAAGACATGTCCAGTAAGAACAGAACGTGTTGGAAAAGCATGAAAACTGTGTCACTTTCCAGTAGACAGTGTGACAAGTTCTGTTTTGACTTCATGGTCTGTATTGGGATTATAATGAGATTCATTGACTTTGGAAGACAACTACATTTAGGACATATGCAAAGTAAAGAAATATACCAATTACTAATAAATGCGAATTACTATATGATCACGATGTTGGTCTGTATTGTCTTGAACAGCCTGGTGAAGGAATTCTTATTTAATTGTCAGCAGTGACATTGAACTGTTCCTTTAACCACTTGTGACTTAACCATTACAGGAGGTTCTTTTGTTTTCTAAATCAGTATGTAATTGATACCATTTGATGAATAGGTGTTGAATTTGAATTTTTATCTTCAGATAGGGATAGGGATTTGATGGCAAATATTAGTATTTTAGTATAAACATCACATTCACCTCAACTGTGGATATTCCTGAATGTTGTAATATTTCATCTGTAATATCTCATCAATGATGTACATACATGATCGAATCAAGCCATGTGTACAGTGTACATGATATAACTGTACATTAAACAACTGTACATTAAACAACCTGCACAGTGTATGGCGTCCCCCTGATGGGAGGTACTATCTCAACACTGTCCATGCTTGATAAAATAAATAGTTAATGTTGGTCCAATTTGTTCATTTTTCCGCCGACTTTTTCACCAAAGTCATAAGGTGTTTTTGTTTTTTCGGGGGATGTTATAGGTCACTACTATTTGTTGTGAAGAGTTGCGTCCCTTGGGCTTGCCAGAAACCTGTGATCATGGGTTCAGTTTTTTCTTTTTTTGTTTGTTATTTAACGCCACACAAAGCAATATTACAACTATATGGCAGTGGTCTGTAAAAGATGGAGTCTGGACCAGACAATCCAGTGGACAACAACAAAAGACGTGAAAATAGGATACTTGTTGGTCCCTGCCTGGCGCTCGTCATTACTGGGTACAACAAGGACTGGTAGGCTCGTAGTCGTATAATGTGTCTGAGTGGGGTATTCATGCTTACCTGCGGCATGGTATCTCAGTTGGCTAGCACTATAAAACCAGCTTTAGTCTGGGCTAGTACAAGCAGCCGCACATACACATATGCATCAAGCGCGACCTTAAACCCAATTTCCGTACGTATGTCCCGATTCTTGTTAACGCGATATCTCATGAATTGTTGTACCCAATGTCTTCAAATTTGGTGACAGCCTACATTGGGAGATTATGCAGACACCGGTCGATTTGGGTGACCTTGACCGTATTTTCAAGGACACCACGACACTTTGACCACTTTTCAATCTATGGTTAACGTGATATCTCATGGACTGTTGTACCCAGTGTCTTAAAAATTGGGGACAGCCTACATTGGGGGATTACGCAGAACCCAGTTTATTTTGGTGACCTTAACCTTATCTTCAGGTCAATGACACTCCAGTTTATTTTTAGCGATGGTGACCTTAACCTTATTAAGGCTTCAAGGGTCACCTTGATGACACTTTACGCTTTACCACTTTTCAATAGCTGGTTAGCGATATTTCATGGACTGTTGTACCCAATGTCTTCAAATTTGGTGACAGCCTACATTGGGGGATTTCACAGACACCTGTTTATTTGGGTGACCTTGACCTTATTTTCAAGGTCACCACGACACAGCACTTTTCAAACTCTTCTTAACACGGCATCTCATGGACTGTTGTACCCAATGTCTTCAAATTTGGTGATGGCATACATTGGGGGATTACGCAGACACCAGTTGATTTTGGGTGACCTTGACCTTATCTTCAAGGTCACCACGATACTTTGACCGCTTTTTAAAGGCGATATCTCATAAAACATTGCACCCAATGTTTTAAAGTATGTTGACAGCCTACATTGGGTGTTTATGCAGACACCAGTCATTTCAGGCATCTTGTATGTGACCCAAAAATAAAAAGTAGTAAATATAGATATTCCATTCTTTAGCCGCGGGGGACATTGCCATATCAGTGGCAAACACTTGTTTTGTTTGTTTCTCACACAGATTTTCCAGCTGTATGACAGTGGTTGGTTTATAATGAGGTCTGAACCAGATGATCCAGTGATTGACATCATGAGCATTGTTTTACACTTTTGGGATAGGATGGAATTCATCAACTAGTCCGAGTCTGAACACCTGATTCCATTAGTCACCTATTAGGACATGCATGGGTTGCGGAAGACCATTGTCTGAGAAGCCAACCCATACTATTGTATTTGTTACGAAAAAAGAATACAAAATAGGCGACTACGATAGCAGCAAAAATATATAAATTTTCTAAGAATACATTAAATTAAATTAAATTTCAACCATATTTTATTCAGTATAACTATCAAGCTATATTTGGATACTTACTACTGATTTAGGTGAGTACAACATTAATAACAAGTTCTTAGAACATCTGTACATTTTTTATTAGATATGAAATTTCTTTGGAAAAGTTAATACAAATTTTGGCAAAAAAATACTAATGTTAGCATCAGTTTTGGGCAAAATACTAAGTGGGCTAAATTAGGGTTGGCATCTCTGCATTGTAACCCGCTCCTACATCAAGTGGACAACTATGATATAACTGGTTCATAAAATACTGTGAAAGTTTAACTCATAAAATATCTTAGATATCTTCAATCTCTGTTGTACCATTTTAAGACAAATATGATTTAATGTATGTTCGTAGAAGCCAGCGTTCTGTTTCCTAAAGCAATCATAGGCTATGGCTGGGTTAACTCACATAGTTTAACACAAGAGAATGAAAGTTGTATCACACAGACTGCTTCATGAGATGGGGCATTAGAACTAGTGTTGGGAATTGGTTAAAATCTAATAATTGATGATTGGTCCATTACAACCGATCAATCATCGAAAATAATTGGTTAGCGTCATTTATCAAATGTTCCTGTTATTTTTGCATATTTAAATCATGATTAGTATGTTAGGAACACATATTTCCTGGATTCTTTAAGATAAATTCAATCATGACTTGGAACGAGCTTGTGGTGCTTATGAAATGTAAATTTAATGACACAGACAAAACCAGCCTTGTGAAAAATATTGTTAATGCAAACAAGTGTTCCAAGATTGGTCGTGTTCGATTACGAGAAAACATGTTCGATTGCTTGGTCGATTATTTCAATTAATCGGACCACCACTAATTAGAACAGGCATGGTTGTCGGTCATTATGCTCCAAGGATGCAGGTTGTTTGAGGCTCATGCTCTGAACCACGGGTTTACCAGGCTGGACATTTTGTGTCCTAAATATTGCGGACTTGGCAAATATTTATCACTGGGATTAACAGCATCTCGACCCGTTTCGTCTCGGGTGGTCCCGTTTGCTGATTTGGTTGAGATGCTCGTTGTTCTGTCTTCCCGTTTGTTTACAGGGCGCCGTCATAGAGTTTGAATATTGCTTAGTGCCTTCAAATGAGAACTGAGCGTGTAACGTGAATTGGTTTCGATTCGAGAGTAAAGTTCCGGGGCTTGTAACAAACGGGTCGTAGCACTTTGTAAGTCGAAAGGAGTCATGAGACCTTGTTTTTGTGATCATGTGCGTTAAAAATTACATCATCGTGTCTTTTCGGAAAGTAGTACCAGCGACCACAAGTAATGTCAGTGTGACACTTGCCCTCTGTGATCAGAGAGGCGGGCGTAAAATATATTTCGTAAAGCGTGTCTGTGAGACAGTTTTCCTCTCGTAGCGATATCTCACCTTTAAGTGTTGGTAGTGAACGAGTCTATAAATATAGATGTTTTACAGAAACTCACTCCATGTAGACAATGCATTTTAATGTCGTGTTTAACGCCATGTTACCTTACCACACAATAACGTCAAACAAAATATCAAACACTTTGTCGGCGCTCTTAGAACATGTTTTCCATTATTGTACTGCTTTAATACTATTTTAACCATACACAACGAGTTGAATGTGTTCTCAGACATTGACTGGCAGGGAGCAACATTAGTTAGATCAACTAAAACTTGTTTGTCTCCCCTCTTTTAAATATCTGTGATACACTTGAGGTGAGGTGAATTTGGGTTTAACGTCGTGCTTGAGAATATTTCGCTCATATGACGACGTGCATGCGTGTGTATGTGCGGCTGCTTGTACTAGCCCAGACTGAAGCTGTTTTTATAGTGCTAGCTCACTGAGATACCATGCCGCAGTGAAGCATGAATACCCCACTCAGACACATTATACTGACTCCGAGCCGACCAGTCCTTGTACCCTTTAATGCCGAGCAATACACTTGAGAATATGTGGTTAGAGAATCATCTTTTATGCCGCTTTTATACAATATTTCAGCAATATCAGGGCGGAGGACAACAGAAATCGGCTTCACACATTGTACCCACTTCAGGGAAACAGGGCCCTCCGTGTGACGGGTGACGCTATAATCCCCAGGCTACCCCTCTGCCCCCAGGTTACCCCTCTGCCCAGAGAATATGTGGTGTTATTCCAAATGAAACAATCAGACAGCCAGAAATCAACACATAAAAGAATTCGATGTGAAATCATCAAACATCAATGAAATGTCACACAATTAACTAAAATTGACTAATTTTAAAGTTTCTGCAAGGGAATTACAATGGCAACGTAATATAAAAGCAATGACTTTGGCAATAAGGGACCGTTTATAATTTATGGCTTGGGGGGGGGGATGATGATTTTTGTGGAGAAGCATGTACAATGTGAATGCCCCCCCCCCTAAAATGTCTGTACAAAATAGGTGACCCCCCTGCATGTCATGTACAAAATCAATGACCCCCCTCCCCTACCCATAATTTCAAAAATATTTTTATGTACAAAATTGATGACAACCCCCCACCCTCACCCCCAGTTCATGTGTACAAAATTTATGACAACCCCGACCCTTGCTCGCCAGAACAAAATGTGTGACCCTCCTTAAAATCACCATCAGCCCCCACTAGCCATAAATTATGAACGTTCCCTAAAGACAGTGATGATCATTCACCTAGCAGCCTACGTGGTCAAGTGTCCAAAATAGACCTTAGGGGCCGTTCATAATTTATGGCTGGGCGGCGTGATGATGAATTTATATGGGGAAGCATGTACAATGTACCTCTTTACATAGTGTAAGTCTACTACAACATTCCTTTACATGCTTTTTTAGACTGCTCTTTTAATCTTTGTACTTCTGGAAACTTACCATTCAAGTTGGGTTTGTTGTTTAACGCCGCACTCAGCAATATTCCAGCTATATGGCGGCGGACTGTAAATAATCGAGTCTGGACCAGTCAATCCAGTGATCAGCATCATGAGCATCGATACGATGACACATACACACTCAAGAGTCCCATTCTAAATATTGTAGATGTCCTCAACTGAATCTTAACAGAAACATTGTAATGATTTACGACACATAACAACGGTCACGCCAATGTTCAGGTTTAGGATGCGCTTATAAAGACCGTACTTAAAAACTTGTCAACCCGTGAAGATCAGGGGTCAGTACCCGGCTTTAGCAGCCCATGCTTGTTAGGGGCGACTAACGGGATCGGGGGTCTGGGCCTCGTTTCACAAAGCGATCGTAGCGCTAAGACAATCGTAACTCCCATACTTTAACATAGACTTACGACAGTCGTAGCGCTACGACCGCTTTGTGAAACGCCCCCAGGCTCGCTGACTGGGGGTTGATCCATGTCATCGTATCCCAACTGCGTAGATCGATGCTCATGATGTCAGTCATTGGGTTTGAGAAGTACAGTTTGATCTTCGTCAATGTATAGCGTATAGTAGAGTTCTGCCCTGAACTATTATAGTTAATGCACGTTACCAATGAACCAAATGATAAAAACATTTCGAGACGGTTTACGATCAGGTTAAACATCTCTTCTCTACCAATTAAATCAAACTTGTGATTGTCGTAAACAACACGGAACAATATGAATATCGCATTTTGTACTTTCATTATGAGTTTAGATCAGTGCATTTCGATCAAGCTGGCAAGTCACGTGACAATTCCACAGATGCATTGTGGGGTGATGATGATTTAAAGGTGGGGGTCACCCATTTTGGTCTGGGGAGGTGGGGGTCATCAAGTGGGGGCGGGGGTGTTTCATCAATTTTGTACATAATAATAGTTACGAAACATGCTAAAAAAGTATGGGAAGCGGGGAAGGGGGTCTTTGATTTTGTACATGATATGCGGGGAGTGGGGTTTGTCACTTCCTCTGTACGTCATTCACATTTTACGTGATTCTGCATAACAATCATCTCCCCATTAAATATGAACGGAGTCCAGTTTCTGCACGTGCGATATGTGCCACGATATCGTTTCCGCGAAGCATGTAGCATGTGTACCAAGTGTTCATGAGCCGAATCAGGTTTTCCGCCAGCTCTCCTCAACACGGTCCTATTATAGAAATGATTCTGCTAAAACAAAATTGGGGAACATAAATTTCAATATACATGAATGTGATCTGTAAATGCAGTAGATTCCTGAAAGTCTTCAACGTTAGAACTGAAATAATGGAGACACTTTTATACCTCCAACAAAGGCCTATGTATTTACTGAACAAGACATCAGACATGTAATAAATAGAGATTATTTTACGAGCACGTCGTATGACATACTTACTCGTGTGTAATATTTTCTTTATGATCCATTTTATTCATGTACATTTGTGCAGTAAAACACGGTAAGCAAGCGTGACGGCCCTCTTCATTGACGTCACGTTCAACTGTTTAATGATGTCACAGAAGACGAAATACGTACAGAAACAATGTTTGTTAGGCAAAAGTAATATTGCACATGTGCACATGATATAATTTATTATATTATATTATATGATACTGGTTATGTTTCACCACATTATGGGTAATATATCAACTGAAGGCATCGCCACACATGAAGCACAACAAGGCTGTAAAGTATCATTATACTAAACATTATTTCTTATTTAATTCTTTTTTCCTTCCATCATCCTGGTGTCCCGCACCGTGGTATTGCTAGAACCAGGGAGACTCTATATGTTGTGGAGTATCCCTGATAGAACACATTGCTAAAAGCGCAGATCACAGCGGCCCTGTGGATGAGCTTGGGAATAGAGCGCACAGGCCGAAAGGTCTATCGCTGCGACGAGCTTGCTTTATACTTTAGAGTTATCTCCCTTCAGGCCTCTGTAAATACGGAACAAGTAACTTTGACAAAATACACTCTTCTCATGTCGCGCAGATTATGTGATCATCGATCGACGCTTGTGAGATCGCGCCCTAGAGTGACGGGCGACGGCTGAAGCAGACAGTCGCAACGATGAGCGCAACCGACATGTCGGGGAATTCCTCGAGTCCTGCAATGATGAAAGAGGAACTGAAACAAAAGTTTTGTCGTCTGCATCAGAAAGCCAAGGAACTTGGCTTAAAGGACGACGACTTTAACAAGATAGAGGCCTTAAGGGAAATTTCGCAAAGAAACAAGAAGAAAAATGTTATAACTTTGTACCTCTGGAAAAGTTTTGGACTGGTTTTCGCCGTGTATGTTGCAATCTGTTTGGTTTGGTGTCTGGAGTGGCCGGTGAAAAATGATGTTATGCTCTCAATATATTTTCGGCTTCAAGGCCTAAGTGAAGAAGATATTTATCGCGAACCATGCGTGTTAGAACCACTGGAATCCATGCAAGATATGTTTCGGCCACCACTCCCTTGCGACTTCTGTAAAGGGATAAATAAAATCGACAAAGTTGCCAACATAAAACCAGAGGAATTTGAAAATACTTATGCATATTCGGCAAGGCCGGTTGTGATAACTGACGGGATGAAAAACTGGACTGCTACTGAAAAGTTTAGTTTTTCGTTTTTCAAGAACATTTATAAGGAGGGGAGCCCTGCTCTGGAAAATGTTGAGAATAACTGTCAGTTCTTTCCATACAAAACATCTTTCAAGAATTTGGGAGAAGTTTTCCAAATGGATGAAGAGAGAGCAACAATGAAGGATGGATCAACGCCCTGGTATATTGGATGGTAAGACACACTTCAATATAATTTCACCTACATGTGTCATATCCTGATAAGCGACAGATCTTTAACAAGGCATTTGAGACATAATAACATTAAATTTAAAGAGAGTTTTACAATCGGAGCTGAGATAATGTTCACTTAACTTCATGATTGTTCATAAAAAATTAATTCATCTTGGGACTAAATCTTTTGTTTCTACATCCTGAATGGAACACGAAATCTGAACTGTTACTGTTGGACACAACTTGTAAAGAGTGTTGTCATATTGACTTTTTATATTTCTCATCAATATATTGATGTATTTGGAAATTTTATTGTATCACATAGAATCTACATCGAAATGTCGCTCTAGTCTATGCAATAAACAAGAACTTGTCATCCATAAGAATGATAAGGTTGTATGCTTCATTTCTGACTCACTAACTTCTAGAATGCCAATCAAACAGCTAAATTCATAGTTCATAGCTGTAGAAACTTATTTTAGTTTATCAGATTGTTATTTTTCAGATGAAAAACCTAGTTAAGTTCAGTTTTATGCATTTAATGGCTCAGCTTAGTTCATATTTAGGATTAAACTGCAGGTACTTGTATTTCTACACATACAGAATAATGAATCTTGCTATTCACTATATGGATATATATTAGGGCTGCAGCGAATCTACTATGAGGTAAATATAGTACATCAGGATTATTGGGTAATGAATACAGTAACAAGTCAAGCAGTTGATGTATCATTGATTTTATACAGTGAAACAATAACAAAATATATTGTTTGACATGTTTTGTCCATGTTGACAGTGTTAATTTTAACAACAAAGTGTCAACCAGTGACCACAATACTGGCCAATGAAATATATAAGCGTTTTGACTGTTTTCCTCCCTGGCTTGGATATATTCCATTATGCATATCTCACTTTGATAAGTAACACCCAAATTCGAGTAAAAATGCATTAAAGAAACAATCATGAATATTTGATTCTGCAAGTGAATCCAGTGAGTGACAATCCTAGACACCAGACAATTGATCTTTGTCTCCTTAGATCATGTCAAACAAGGCGAACAGGCAAAGAAGCTTATACAACGTCCACAGTGTATAAACAGACATTTTAATCAAATCCTAGAAACGGGATATACTTCCTTGAAGTGCTAAAGAATCAGTGACTACAATTACATACAAATCCTTCCTGTGTTGTAATTCAAGCTGCTTAGATTATTTTCCTGGTTGCAGGAGCAACTGTGACGCGAATGCAGGGAACATCCTGAGACAACACTACAACAGGCCCTACTTCCTCCCACCTGTAGCTGAGTCCAGCAAAACAGACTGGGTCTTTATGGGAAGTCCTGGATATGGAGCTCATTTACATGTAGGTTGCATTTTCAATTTTAGTAATTTAGGCCGAAGTAAACATGCTAAAGAGTTTTTGGTGCCCATTTACATGCATGTGTCATTTTCAGTGTTTTAGGGTTCCATTTACATCATGCATGTGTCATTTTCAGTGTTTTAGGGTTCCATTTAAATCCATGTGTTATTTTCAGTGTTTTAGGGTTCCATTTACATGTGTTATTTTCATGTGTCATTTTCATTTTCAGTGTTTTAGGGTTCCATTTACATCATGTGTCATTTTCAGTGTTTTAGGGTTCCATTTACACCCATGTGTCATTTTCAGTGTTTTAGGGCTCCATTTACATCATGTGTCATTTTCAGTGTTTTAGGGTTCCATTTACACCCATGTGTTATTTTCAGTGTTTTAGGGTTCCATTTACATGCATGTGTCATTTTCAGTGTTTTAGGGCTCCATTTACATGCATGTGTCATTTACAGTGTTAAAGGTCACATGCAACGTAAAACACAACTTTGCAGATTCTGATACCTTTCGGCATGGACTTACTGAAACAAATCATCAAAAATGCAAATTCAACTTATAACGCAATGAAAAAAACCCGCGTGAAATCGGAGCTCAAAGGATTCTCTAATTTTCCCCCAGTGCTTGGGGGAAAAAGTGGTTTCAACAGCTGGGCTGGGCTGCGCTGGGCTGTGCTCATAGCACATGCGCAGTGAAATAGGTTCGCGCAGCTTGGAAGCGGGTTGTCCGGATTATAAGGTCGTGAGCAGGAGTAGTCTAATCAAAACAAATACCGGTAGTAAATAATCTACTCATTACATAAAATAACCTTGTTACGATCTAGATCTACTCAGCTATATGTCAACCAGTGAGGCGTTCGACATTTCAAGATGGAAATATATAGATATAGATAAGTCGTTGTCAGAGACAATGTCTGTTTTATTGAGACCTATCTGTCTGCCTGCCTGTCTGCTAATGACAATATTCAATACACAACTTCGATCACTGACCACATGCAATTTGAACTTAACACCTATCAGGCTATACCACAGGCCCTCGTGTCTTTGCGAGGATTAAAGATGGTAAAAATAATAAAACATTTGAGATGTCCATGGACCCCAAGACCCGCATTCTGGCAAGGGATGACTGTATCCTATAACTGCATATGGAATGCCCTTAACAAATGTTGCCCAGTAAGACCATCCTTATATTTTGTGTGTTTTACTTTTCCGTGCTCTGCTTTAGACGGATCCAAATGGGAAAGAAAGATAAGAAGAAAAGCTGCTTTAGTGTAAGAATAAAACTTAGTTGTCCTTTGTTCAAAAATTGGTAAACAACTAGATCATTATCTCACTATTTAAAAACAATCAAGGCTTACTGGATCTGTGTTTAGAACTTGACAGACAAAAAAGGCAGTGAGCTTAAAAGATGACAAATCTACCCAGAGCAGTAGCTAGAGCTACTTCACTTCTTCAAAAATCCTTACATTAAAGACAACACAATATGTTAAACATGAAATACTGTGACTTTTATTCAATAGGAGATGTACAAATGGGTGGATAGAAAGCACTGTTCGTTTGTGGTGTTCCGATGATCGAAAATAATAAAAAATCAATCGAAAGGAGGATTAAAAATAATTATCGATTGTATAAAACATATTTTCAGTTAATCAGAATTTTGTTGTTTTAGTATAGCATACTTGAATGAAGTAAACAAACCATTAAATTTGAAGAATATTATCTAACAAACATGCGCTTAACCGCGTAAAGTGAAGTTTCGTATTCATCACGAAATATTACTGTAACCTGTCTGTGAATAAATTCTACATCTGTTGTGAACATAATGACATATACTGATAAATATTTGTTGTAAAAATAACCAGAATAATACATATGTAGAAAGTAAAATTACTGCACTTTAAAATTTAGATATGAAAATATATTGCTAATCCTGCCTGTTGTTGAGAGGGCAAACAAAATGGCTGACGCCGCTGCGGCTGGAAGTTAAGATATCTGTCGATATTTCATAACACTGGCCTGATAGATAGTAATTACAAATCAAATAACGAATTATATTATCTGTACAGTGTTGAATATGATTAAAACTCACCATTAGTTTCATCATGTTTTGATGTGTTGGTGTGAATTGGTGAATGATTGTTACCATCAGTGTCCGTGTCAATATTATTGCAAACTATACTGACCATAATACTGATTTTTGATATTTTCACTTCCAAAATAAACGGCTGTCAGCAGTGTGAATGTGACTGTCTCAGTGTCAAATCATGGTTTGTTTGTGTATGCAGGTAACAGCTTTTAGAGGCAATCATGAAGAGTAATATAGTAGAGTATAACCAGATTCAGGATGCTCAGGAATGATGGTATATATATTTAATAATATCAAATAAAATAATCAAGTAATGAAAAGATGACAGTAAGCATTGTAAAATTTTAACCACTTTTATTGTTTAATTACAATTCCAGTGTCTTTCTTGCATGCTTGACCCGTGTAGGTCCGGGTTAGAATATTGGCCTTCAGTAACCCATGCTTGTCACAAGAGGAGACTAACGGGATCGGGTGGTCAGGCTCGCTGACTTGGATGACACATGCCATCGGTTCCCAGTTGCGCAGATTGATGCTCATGCTGTTGATCACTGGATTGTCTGGTCCAGACTCGATTATTTACAGACCGCCGCCATACAGCTGGAATATTGCTGGGAGCGGCGTAAAACTAAACTCACTCACTCACTCTTGCTTGCTTGCATTTCATTGCATGACAGTATTAGTTATAAAAAACATTAATTAGGCAAAACCTGGGGAAAACCCCCTAAAATTGGTGGCTGCATTAAAAATGTATATATTTCGATTATAATCGATAATCATTCACCACAAGTCCTCTGATAATTGATACTGGATTTGGTTTCCGATTCCCAACACTACTGTTCGTAAATGTTTATGTGGCACCATCATTTAGGACAGGCGGAGTTCATCTACATCATATGGAATAAATGTAGTCAGTTGAACTTTCTATTTCAATGCAGTCCTCCCACTTCTCTCAGTGTGAAGTGTAACAGATTGAGGGCCTGAAAAGCAACATTAACACGACAGAAACACTCCATAGTTTGCACATCTGTCACCTTACATGGTCAATGTGACTTGTTTGTTTCCTTGCAAAATGAAACCTATCCTCTGACGTGCCTTAATCTGTGTTGAGGAAATAATAAAGTAGATTTGATTTCATTGTGGCAAGGACAATTTCCTTCCGTGCACAAGGGGTGACGTTAACATGGTAAATTAATCAGATCAATTTAATCAATTTATCCTGATCATGGACTTATTGTGTGAAATTATCTTGATTAGAAACTGACATGTACTGATGTAGTTTGGAAGGACTGTAGACTTCTGTAGTCTCTTACACAGACCCAGAAATAGAAATATCTTAAAGCTCCATGGCATGTTTGCAGTAATTTGGTCTAGGTTCTCCAGTTTCTGATGGGTAGTGGGGTAGCCTAGTGGTTATAGTGTCGGCTTGTCATGCAGAAGATCCGGGTTCCATTCCCCACATGGGTACAATGTGTGAAGCCCATTTCTGGCGTCCCCTGCCATAATATTGCTGGAATATAGCTAAAAGCGGCGTAATACTAAACTAAACTCACTCACTCGCATACTCTCCAGTTTCTGAAAACTAAAAATGAAGAGTGTATGAGCTTCTGTTCATCATACCAAAAGTAAACAGGAAAACAATTATTTGTTTTAATTTCAGAGACAAAATGTGAGTCAAAGACTTTTGAAGAAGGTGAAAGTAACAAAATAGATAAATAGATAAATAAATAAATAAATAAATAGATAAATAAATAGATAAATAAATAAATAACCACCATCCAGACTATTTTGTTGCCTAAAAGATTATAACAGAGACACCTAAAGACTGACATTAACAGTGTGTTATTTTAGCTGAATGCCTGAAGCCTGAGAAGTTCATTTAATGTAGTAGAACTAAAATAAGCTAAAAATTATTCTTGGACTTTTGAAATTACTACTTGTCCTTCAGTTTAGAGATTTCGCTTATCTGCGACCAACTAATCAGCATGTCTAATCTGTCCTTTAAATTTCCAGGACTCACGTTTTGGCTTTTCAAAACGTCAAATTACCTGCCCTTTGTTTTCTGTTAGTATTGTACAGAGATTGCCTTTGAAGCTATCATTGGAAAGGGCCATCATATACAGTAGAACACGGATATAACGAACTCCAAGGGACCAAGAAATTAAGTTCGCTATATCCGTTGTTCATTATTCACATTTGACCGCCATCTTGGATTGTAGAGATGTAGACATTCACAGACATTACCTTGTCATGTTGATAAATATGAAGTTTATTTTTATAATAAAATTGAAATAATACAACTACAACTTAAATAAATTTATTTTTTAATGAAAATGCAAGCTTACATTTATAATGTCCAACAAGATTGATGTATACTGTACCGCTAAGTGGCTGAGCTGACACTGAGTGAGTTCGCTAATCACGTCGTTAATTGGGTCTTGGGGGTAGTAAATCAGTTCGCTATAGCCGTTAATTCGCTACTCACGAGTTTGTTATTCACGTATAATTTTAATGATATTATAAAGGACTGTTGACGGGACTTTTAAATTTGTTCGCTATATCCGTTTGTACGCTATATCCGTGTTCGCTATAACCATGTTCTACAGTAATTGCTTATTTTACTCACTATGTTAAAGCCTCTTTAACTGCATATATTCTGATATATTCTGTATCTTGTACATGAATTGTACTGTCCTCTCCCTCTCCCTCAGTTGGACAATGTCGGCCACGCCTCCTGGCAGGCCCAGGTGACCGGCACAAAGAAGTGGACGCTTGAGCCGCCAGTCGAGTGCTACCTGGATTGTGAAGGAACCATGGAGGTCACTGTCCGACCAGGCGATATAAGTGAGTTACAGAAAACATTTGGATTAGTCAGATTTTATCTAACTCTACCATGAACAGTATTTTACTTATGTCACACAGAGATATGTGCCATGCCTGTCCTTCACTTTGATAACTTCTAGTCTAGCATCTGGTTTCTAATATACTGAGGGAAACAAATAAGGAACAACACTTCATAGCAGTGTTCCTTTATTTATTCTCAGATTTTCACCCACAGTGCAATACAAAGCTTGTGAAGAAACCTGGAAAAGAATAAAGGAACACTTGTACTTTCATGTGTTCCATTATTTGTTTCCCTCACTCACTATATCATCCTAGGAAGGGGCTAAAACCTCTTAGATCCCAGATACAATGTTAAAAGACAAATAATGATCGATCAAATCAATACCTATTTCCTACAAGTATCTTGATCAGAGCACGCAGTGTACATATTTGCATGCAACGTGTCAGCTTGACTTCGGAGAAAAGCCCAGATGTTTATCTCTTAGGCTGTCTGTATTTTTTTTGTTCTCATCTCCTTCCTAAACAAAAGAGCAGGTTGGTGAAAAACAATATTATAAATTTAGTGAGAATGTTTTTTACTAGTTGTAACTTATTTTACGACATTTTGAAATTAATATCACACGGTAATACCATTTAACATGTTTAAATCAGTTTATGACAGATAGACTCGCTCTGCCTTGGAAACATGCTTTTAATAAATGTAAATGTTCTTTTCATGAGTGTGCAAGGTTAGGAGAGTTTTTTGTGACCTTAGGGTGTAAACTTCCACAGTGGTGGGGTAAGTTGAGACAAGAAAACATTTCATCATTTCATGTTGGAATGAAAATTCTCCCTCTCTGCTGTCATTATCAACAAATAATACTGACATAGTAGCATTATGTAGCACATGTAACCACTAAAAAAGGTGTAGTTTACATTGTAAACTTTAATAAAACATACCAGTTGAGACAAAGGAAATTGCCCCTGAGCCAACACAGTAACTGCCCACTGTTGACAAGTGCTGCTTCTGTCATAAGGGTTATTTGTCCTACTTGAGTGGACCGCCTCCGTGGTGTAGTGGTTAGAGTGTCCGCCGAGGAGCCCGGAAGGTCGTAGGTTTGATCCGCGACATACCAAAAGACGTTAAAATATGGTACTTGTTGGTCCCTGCCTGGCTCTCGGCATTAATGGGTACAACAAGGACCGGTCGGCTTGGAGTCAGTATAATGTGTCTGAGTGGGGTATTCATGCTTTACTGCGGCATGGTATCTCAGTGGGCTAGCACTATAAAACCAGCTTCAGTCTGGGCTAGTACAAGCCGCCACACATACACATACACACGCATGCACGTCGTCATATGAGCAAAATATTCTCAAGCATGACGTTAAACCCAACTTCACCTCACCTGAGTGTCACTTCACTTTCATAACTTACATTATGAGGCTAGTGACAAACCGTTTTCAAATATATCTGTACTGATCCTACAAAACCTTTAGCACAGACATAGTGTCTCAATAACTATAATCATTTCTGTGAGACATCACCAAGTGAGTGTTTCATGTGACAACAAACAGCACTATCATTTTCTCTTAAATACCTACCAACCGTAATAGAGTACATGATACATTATTCATTGTACAAATTTCCAATTTTTTCGTTGTATCTATTTTGTGAAATACTTTACAAAATTGAAAACTGTCAAAATAAGATATGCTAACTGAATTAACAAAAACTAAGAACTTCACAGCAAGCATAATTTGGGACAATAAGTTTGGAACATTGGAACAATGAATGTTAAATCATACCAAAGAATGCCTGTGTTTTAAAACTGTATCAGTTTTCTAGCAACATCGACATTTTATGCCCAAATGTACATTCTTGGCCCAAATTACCTGTGAGAAATAGGAACATTAACATTACCAATCAAGATTTATACATGCTTCAATATACAGTCAATGAGAACTGATTCACACTTTCTTGGATATTTATTGACTTGAAAATAGTTGGGTAGAGATGAAATTTTATTTGTATAGGTTAATTCAGGATCACGTAAACACAGCATATCAAAGGACAGGACATAAATCATTTCTGAAAAATATTGTGAATATGAAAGTGTTTCATCTAGTTTATCTTGTGAGGATCACTTGGATGTCTGTTATCTGTGTGTGAGTGTATCAGCATGGTCACCTGAGGGTGAAATTGAGGGGACCTAAATAGCTTTATTCCCTCCCAGTAACTCAGTCCGGGATATAATCTCAGACAGGTATTGATTCCTGTATCAAGTGGATTAGAGAAGGTTATTAACTGCTGTACTGGAGCGAATTTACTAGGGCGTGGGCCTACGTAGAAAACAAGTTAAAACCTGATTGGTGCAAAATTTGAAATTTAATTTGGTTGTTGATTTTATGCTTGGATGGTTTTCATGCTTCAGTTGTTGGCTGTGGAAATCACTGAGATGTGAAACCATCAGCTTTATTGTATTGCAACATGTAAATACCTGCATATTGTGTTGTATTCGGTTTCAATTAGCATCATTGTTCATGTTTATACAGGTATTTTTAAAACATTAGGTAATTGTTTTAATTGATTAATATAGCTTGAATAAATCTTCAACAGATATAAGTGCATTTTTCCCTGAGAGAGTTGCACATTTAGAACATACATGGGATAGCTGTCTGTGAAGTAGTCTGTCTCACAGTCCCTGAACCATATTATTTTCCCGCCTCCTAACCCTCCCTGCAATGCTAAAGGCCTAAATGAAACAAGTCTAGATTTCCCCAGGGGCTCCTTTTCATTTTAAGTGGGTATATTTGTTACTGTCAAAATTATATATGTTCAGAGACTAAGCGTTAGTCTATCTGTAAAGGTTCACATGGCCATTGGTTTAAACTAATGCTTTGAGATTGTTCATCATAGCAGTTACTTTCAGTATGAGAATTGAGAACTGTTAGTGTTATGATCACTATCTCATTTTCAACCATTAGATCATTGTCAGTACCCCACTCACTCTTGTATACACAGAGTGAGTGAGGGTGTGTGGTTTTATGCCACTTTTAGCAATTTTCCAGTAATATTCTAGCAGGGGACACCTGTGGGTCGGGAACACCAGAAATGGGCTTCACACATTGTACCCATGTGGAGAATCGAACCCGGGTCTTTGGCGTGATGGGCAAACGCTTTAATCACTAGGCTACCCCACCGCCCACTTTCTTTGGTATGCCTGGTTATAATAGCTCGGTCATGCGGGATACAGTATCTTGTTTACCTTACCATGAATTTGTCATTGTTTTATGAACAGTCAAATAACATCAGCTATTAACTCCAGATGTCACAGACAGCGTGTTTTACGCACAGGTAGTTGCAGGGGAAGCTACTTCAGGGTTTTACACAGACTTTGAAAAAAGAGAGTCATGGAGACCCACAGCATATATTTTTGGGAATCATTTTCAATATTTGGGAGTCATTAAAATGTTAGCGTAATATTTATGTGTGTATATAAAAATGCAAGAGTTTTGTAAAGATTTTATTGTTTTGTGTTGTATTGCCATTTATATGTTAGTTGATAAATAGTACACTTTTCACTGTTCAGTTCAGTCATAACAAACTCCAGTATACTGAACAAATAATCAGGCTTGTGATTTATTCACTGTAACACACAGTTATTAACATGAATTGAAAGAAATATCTAAATTCATGAAGACCTCACGAAAACTATCATTATTTGCTTATAAGATCGATTTTATTGACTCTGAACTGAATTCTGAGGGTCACTCATAAAACTTGCGTCAAGCTTGACTCGTATGATAATATTTTGAGAGTCTTTTACAAAATTGTTGCGTCAAATACGCAAGTATCACGCGTCATGTAAAACCCTGTACTACGAGTGTGATGAGCGAACACTTTAACCACTAGGCTACCCTACCCCTGATATGCTGCAAATTGATATTTTGGTTAACACAGTTATTTACATTTATGTAAATACATGTACAGGTATAACTGATATAATATGTATTGTAAGGATAATGTATGTAAATCATATGGTAGAAGGTTTATGGTACAATCTTTATGGAGAGAGATGAAACTATTCTCCTGACAACACATGATCAGATAGTGTTCATCACAACTAGCTCAGCAGTGAAGTGGGAGAAGCAGGTGCCCCTGGGACACATTCCATGTAGCTTTCTTAGCGCTAACGTGATTGTAACTCCATACTCTATCATGGACTTACGGCTGTTGACTGTCATAGAGCTATGATAGCCCTGTGGAACAGCCTAGGTGCCCCAGTCATTGGAGGCATGACTGTTCACCGTACAGAGTTGAGCCCTTTCCTTGCCAGAAATCTTTGATCATGGGTTCAAATCACAGGCCCTCGTGTCTTTGCGAGGATTAATGATTAAAAAAATATTGATTTTGAGATGACCCCCGACTCGAAATACTTCACAGTACAATACATCATGGCAAGGCCAGACACTTCGGTATACCCCACCCGACTGCTTTGCCGTTCGCTACGCTACCATCGCATGCAATCAATTAAAACTTCATGGAAACATAATCATGGATGATTGGCCTATCGAGCAGCACTCATGACACCTACCAATTCTTTATTGTTATTTCTGCAAGTCGATTGAAACCTGATATTGACTCTCAACTAAACGATCTTGACACAAATGGCTGACGATATATTCGCACAAAACGGGTGTGTGGTCGAAGCAAGCCCTCTGGTTGGTCAACGCTGCTGAATCTGCACATTCTTTATAAATTCTCGGGAATTTTTACTTTCATCGACTGCTTGACTTGGAAGAAATGTAAGATTTTTTTCCAGCAATGGCTTCTCAAAAGAAAGCATCATTTGTAAATGGCTCCTTAACAAACATCCTTCCTAAACACAAATGTGTGCAGAACAGCCCTGATGACATGTCTACCATGTTTACAGCTGGTAATAATTATTTCTGGCATTCAGTAGATAAAAAAAGCAGCGCAAGAGAAAATAATTAACTTGTCTATATGTAAATTAGGTCTGGTACGAGTTTACTATGAAGCAAATATGTCACATATTACGAATACTGGGAAAAATGCAATAATAACTCATCATTTATATAATATAGCAGTTTATTATCCTCAGTGAAATGATAGAGTAAGTTCTTTGACATTTTGAATTTGACTATGCTGACAATGATAATTTATCATAATAACCAGTGGCCACATTACTGTCGGTTTAAATACATAAATGACTTAAATATCATCCTGCCTGTATTGTATTTATTTCATTTTGCCTATTTCACTTCGACAGCACCCAAATTCAAGTCAAAACACATTTTGTAAAATATTCAAGTTTAATGATCACAACTAATGAGTTGAACAGTTTGATTCGGCAAATGCACACGTGAATCGTAACAGCCCTACTGTACATGATGAAATATTCCATGGTTGACTAGTGAGTTATTTGTTGGATCAGTACTTTTCAGTGCATGTATGTACTTCAAACCTGAGGCGCTGGGATAACCTAGTGGTTAAAGCGTCTCAACGAAGACCCTTATTTGATTCCCCACTAAGGTACAACGTGTCCCCTGCTGTGATATCTGCTGTGATATCTGTGGAATATTGCTAATAGTGACTTGAAAGTAAACACTTATTCACACTCACTCACTCACTCACTCACTCACTCACTCACTCACTCACCCACGCACCCACCCACGCACTCACTCACTCACTCACGTCTCTATTTACTATGCTTATTTTTCAGTTGTCCTCGACACCAACAAATGGTACCATTCCACCCTGAATGTTGGAAATGACATCAGCATCACCATCGGCTCCGAGTATGATTGAGAACAACGTTACATTCGGAAACAGTTCAACTCCATATTTGCACTGTCAGTTTTTTGTGGGTATTATCTTTAGTTGTCATTCTCCACTGTTTATGCTTCATGGAGACATCGCCAACTCCGTCTACTGGTTTTTGCTCTAGTTCATGTTTCTGTGTTTGGTAGTCCAGGTTCAAGTCCATTTTCATTAAAATCATGATGAAGAGTGGTCTTCGATTTTAATGAAATTGGGGCTGAATTTTTAGTGAAATGGACACTGGATTGTCTGGTCCAGACTCAATTATTTACAGACCGCTGCCTTATAGCTGGAATATTGCTGAGTGTGGCATTGAACAACAAACAAACCAGCCAAACCAACCAGCTTCCTGTCAATGAATATATGTTTCATTCTAATATTAAAGCATTATCTGGAGACAGTTGTCCTCCTGACAGTATAACAGCAGGATTGTTTCTGTATTTATTGTTACAAATAGCTACATAGTTCTGAATGCCCATACAATAAATGCCCATTATTCTTAATATTTCGAAATCCCTCTATCTTCCTTCATGTCCAATGTTACCTTGTTTTATTGACAACTGTTGACATTGTTTGGAAAAGGTATTCCATTTTGATTTGCACAAGAATCTGTCCGTATTATGTGCACATGCTGTATCATATGCTGTTATTTGTCTGCCTGTATTTAGCAATGGCAGCTGTATTTAGTTACGATTTGTCGTAAGTGCTCAAATATGTGACATTTGTTCAGCCAGTCACATCTAGAAAGCAATATTTACTTGGCTATACTCGTGCTAACAAAGTATTTGTTTTGGTATGTCGTGTACAATGCTGTGCATGGTTTAAAGCACAGTCTATAAGTTGACTCTGACAATGTATGTTGATCATGTTGCTACATTGTTGATGAAGGCAGGGAAGTTGTTCCAATAACAAGGTATTAGAGATTATTTTACAAATTGAAAGTACAATCCTTACATACAGGATTAAGCAATACATTTTCTGTAATTGATAGACATATTAAGGCCTCAATGAATGAATTTTTGCATTTTCATCCAATTTATGTTGAAAATGTGAGTAATAAGGCATTTTGGTTTTATGGGTTTAAAAACACTTTAAAAATCTGTGTTAATCTGTTGAAATATCTTATTTACATGAAGCTGAAAGATAAGTGAATATTGTAGTGAAAGAAGGAACTGAAGTGATAAATATGTTTGTTTTAACATCACATTCAGTAGTATTCCTACTAACAGTACTATAGGACAGTGGCCTGTAAATACTCACGTCTTCACCAGGCGGTCTAGTGATTGATATTGTCAACAACTTTCCATGCTGTCAGAAATGGAGACATCAGACAGACAATCAACAGTCAAAGTCTGGCCAGCAATAAATTGAGTGGCCTGCTTACACCAAGCATTCCCAATTGCGTAGATTGATGCACATGGTGTTGATCACTGGATTGTCTGGTCCAGACTTGATTATTTACAGGCCGCTGCCATATAGCTGGAATATTGCTGAGTGCGCTGTTAAACAACCAACCAACCAACCAACACCAAACTTTGGTTACTAGGGGCATACCACTGTCCTAACCCAGAGCCCCTTCAGGGGAATATTGTGGTGTGAAGAGGGTGTTTGGTCATGATGCGGGTTGGCTTAAAAATCTAGTTACATGTATGTATTTTGACATGGTATATGAGGTCAGTGTAAACAGCTTGTTATTTTGAGCCTTATGTAAATATATTCACCATTGTAACATTTTCCGTTGCATGTACAAACTTTTCAAATGATATTGTGTGATGTAAAAATCCTGAACTACATAAATTATATTTGCTTTTCATACTGGTATGTATTGCCTTTAAGCTAAAATAAACATTTATAGTCTATACAGTCATCTTCATGTGTTGTAACTGGAACACTGTCTGACAGTGGAAGGGTTAATCAGTGCAGTAGGTACCAGTTCCTTAAGTTATGGAAACTTCCAAATGTTGTTAAAAAAAGGGAACATTTAAGTCAGTAAGTGCTGTCTAGATATATAAAATATACATCAACACCTTGAGCATGCACTAGTTCCGTGGACATGTGCGCTATATAAATATCCTATAATAATAATCAGTGTCCTGTATATTTCATGGGGCGGTGGGGTAGCTTAGTGGTTGAAGCGTTCACTCATCACGCCGAAGGCATGGATTCGATTCCCAACATAGGTACAATGTGTGAAGGCCATTTCTGGTGTCCCCCACTGTGATATTGCTGGAATATTGCTAAAAGCAGCGTAACACTAAACTCACTCACTCACCATATATTTTGATCATCATGACATGTATTATTGTGAGTATTATGCAAGTCATGTGCCCTGTGATACAGCCTCATTGCACTAGAAGTGCTGGTCTGTTTTGAAAGGCTTGCAGTGATTTAAGTGATTGATGTATGAGCCTGTAAGCTTGTTGGTAGTTCAGCTGGTCTTTCACCAGGCTGTCAGCTATAATTATTTCTTGTCAGGGCTTTTACTGTTACAGTGGTTGCCCTGTTGATTCCTAAGGGTGAGTCTTGTTTGAGCAGTATTCCAGTTATGTCCCTGTGTGACAGTTTGATGTGGAGGTAGCTGAAAGTGATACAGGCCTTTGATGTTGCAGTGAAAACAAGCACCTGTTTGACCCTGACAAACGCAACAACATAATCAGGGCGATTATAAGAATCAAACCATCATAGGCTTAAGACACCTGGGAGTATCAACTCTGCAGTGTGTATTGCTGGACCTTAGAGAAGACAGGACCTCCTCTGTACCCTAATATAGAAATGGGGGCCAAAGGGTTGCCAAGTGGTGAAAGCGTATGCTTGACATGCAGATCCAGGTTTGATCCTGTACATGGGTACCTTGTGTGAAGGCCTTTGTAGCATCCACACTGTCATGTTGCTGTCATGTTGCTGAAAGCGGCATAATACCATACTCACTGATATAGACTGAGTGAGTAAATTGGGTTTATGCCCTTTTAGAAATAATCCATGATCATATCACAATGAGGGAACACCAGAAATGGGCTTCTCACATTGTACCCATGTGGGGAATCAAACCCGGGTCATCAGCATAATGTTTTAACCACTAGGCTACCCCACCGCCCCCATTGATATAGAATTGGAGAAGGTGATCTGGCAGGATATTATTTGTACTGCAGGCAAAATACAGTTGAGCACATTGCAACACTGGGGTTGATGTGACACAAATAACACAGCATAATGTAATGAATTAACATGTAATGTATATATGACACAGTTTAATTATGCTTGTTACGAAATCAAATACAAAAGGCTGAATATCAGTAAGAGTCAAATGCTAAACTATTACATTATTTAAGTTGATAATTTTGTTCAGAAGTGTATGATTTCATTTTTCAGATTTCATTTATGTCCTATGTTTTGTTCCTTGCTAATTACTTATTTATCAATATGTAATTCATATATTTCAGAATGTGTTGGTTCTAAATTTTTTAGTGCAATGTATTTTTCAAATAACAGAATGCACCCCCAAAAGGCTACCTTCAGTATCTGTGGTGCCTAATTTCAATTCCAAATGCAACTGACCGCCTCCGTGGTGTAGTGGTTAGAGCATCCGCCTGGAGTGCGGAAGGTCGCGGGTTCAATCCCCGACCGCCTCATACCAAAAGACGTTAAAATATGGTACTTGTTGGTCCCTGCCTGGCGCTCGGCATTAATGGGTACAACAAGGACTGGTCGGCTCGGAGTCAGTATACTGTGTCTGAGTGAGGTATTCATGCTTCACTGCGGCATGGTATCTCAGTGGGATAGCACTATAAAGCCAGCTTAAGTCTGGGCTAGTACAAGCAGCCGCACATACACATACACACACATGCACGTCGTCATATGAGCGAAATATTCTCAAGCACGACATTAAACACAATTCCACCACCACCACCATTTAATGACCAAGATAAAACCATCAAGTGTAGCCAAGGAGGAGGAAGTAATCTGGTAAACACACAGTGACATCACCCAGTCCTAACCCACCCTTGTGTACATAGTCTGAGCATGTTCTCGTGTCCTCACTTACCTGCTCCTGATTAATAAAAAAATAGGATTTAGTTACATATTTTTAACAACTTTCGTGTTGGTTTTCCTCTGCAACGCTGAAGTATGTTCAGGTATTTTAAATCCAGGCTTCCAGAGTACATCTATATTTGAATGAAGTTAACATGTCTCTACATTAAGAACATTGTAACATGGGTTTCTCCATATAAACAGTCCTCTTTATGTGGCCATCCATGGTACATTTCTCCGTATTATTTGAATGACGTATACTTCCCAAATTAGGAACATTGTAACCTCCTCCTTGTATGGTCATCGATGGTACATTTCTTTACAAAAGTATAAATGGGTTTCTGGTTAGTTCTGTATTATTTGAATATATACTGCTTCACCTTTGAGCAATGGAATATTTCGTGTGTCTATAAAACACGCAGACGAATCTCATAATGTTTCATGTGTATGTTTAAATGGAATGACATATCTGATTATTAAACGTTATTTGTGTGAACATACAACAGCCGAAAGTATAATCAGTTCCGATGAAACAAATTGCTAATAATACCGCCAATAATGATCAAATATACAATACTGAGTGGCATATTAACATATGTGCCTCCACGTGTTAATTTGTGGAACAGGCGTGAAATACGTAGCAGATGGTTTGTGCTTGAAAGCAAAATACAGGGAAAGAAATTACCGCATGCATTCTGTTTTGAATATTCATAAGGTCTTTCAGCCAAATGAACACCTGGTTCATCGACGTATGCATGGGGATTGTTGTGTGGAATATTGGATTGTTAGTGTACGTCATTGGTGATGTGAAATCACTGTGTTTATGTATGCCTGTATGCGCGCTTTATACGTGTAGCAGCTAAACTTGAACACCCCACCCCATACAGTTTACTGACTGCGAGCCGACTGGTCCGTGTTTTACCCAGTGCCAGCGCCAGGCAGGGCAACAATATCTAATATATTTGAACGTCGCTTGGTAGGACGTGGCCGGGATTCGCACCCAACTCTCCACTGCACCAGGAACAGGGGCGCTGTCAAACACTCACCCAAGTCTTAAAACACCCAACTCTGCTGCACCAGGAACAGGGCGCTGTCAAACACCCAAGTGTTTCCAGTAATTTCAAATGAAATTTTCAAGAAATTTCTTGAAGTCAGTTGGTAATATAAAGAAGTCAGGAAGAATAGTTCACGGATATTGCCATCACTATATTTTTTGATGGAATAAATGTAACAAACCCCGAAATAATGGAGCCACGTAGGATATCTAGACTTACGCCTAGTTTCTCAAATAAATATTCTTGATAGAAACAAATCATTTAATTTAAATGGAAAAGGAGCACAGTGCACTTGGACGTGCTTCATTTAGGGCGTTTGTATTGCAAAAAGGGTTTAGACGGAAGGGAAAATATTGTGGTTCAGGGACCGAGATGCAGACTAGGAGAAAATCCAGCAAACCCCTGATTAAGTGAGTGAAGTTAGTTTTACGCCGCACTCAGCAATATTTTAGCTGTATGGTGGCGGTCTGGACCAGACAATCCAGTGATCAACATCATGAGCATCGATCTACGCAACTGGGATACGATGACATGTGTCAACCAAGTCAGCGAGCCTGACCACCCGATCCCGTTAGTCGCCTCTTACGACAAGCATGGGTTACTGGAGATCAATTCTAACCTGAATCTTCACGGGTCCATTTAGCATAAGAAAAGATGGACTTTTAACATTGTCTCGCACAAATGATTTTACATTTAAATTTACAACTGCCGATGCTAGCCCCATTTTCAACATCTCGTGCTTGATAACAGTGTTAGCATCAACACAAAAACGTCATTTATTGTACTAAAGAAACTGCATATTCACAGAAATACCCCCATATATATATATATATATATTATGTAGTGCTAAAACCCCGTTAGTTACAGTATATACCTTGATGCGAGATGTTTTGCGTTACAAGCCCCGGTGGTCAAAGATAGGTGTATACTTTCTTTTACTTGATTGGACAGTAGGGTTGCCTAGTGGTTAAAGCGTTCGCTCGTCACGGTAAAGACCCGGGTTCGATTCCCCACATGGGTACAATGTGTGAAGCCCATTTCTGGTGTCCCCCGCCCTGATATTGCTGGACTATTGCTAAAAGCGGCGAAAAAACCATACTCACTCACTCACTCACGTTTGCCTAATTAGTGATAACGTGTGTGTCTGCTAATACCAGCAGCCCATATATGTCTCATGTAGGCTCGCCCGGGCATTGTAAGACTGGCTGTATCACCTCAGTGAATACATTCTTGAAAGAATCTGTGGATTTGTTATTTGCAGCTTGATACAAACATGTCCAGATGTGGTCACCTATTGACACTGTAATGGTTGTATGGTATCACACAATGTTTATCCTCCAGCCAGCTGGTGACTATGTCGATTTTCACCTTCAACATCAATGATGTGTCTATTATATGCGCTAGAAAATGTTCTGTTCTATACCGCTAAACCAATACCAGTGGGTCGCCCTGATGTTTATGAAGTGACTGAGCGAGTGTGGTTTTATGTCACTTTGAGCAATATTCCAGCAATCACACAGCTGGGGACACAATAAACGGGTTTCACACATTGTGCACGTACATGGAATCGAACCCGGTCCTGCAGCTAGACGTGCGAACGATCTAACCACTAGGCTAATCCACCGACCGCTTTCTTTGGTAAGCCTCGCTATAATAGCTTTGTCATGCGGGCTACATTAATTATCTTGCTCAACCTACCATGAATTTGTCATTCTTTTATAAAAAATATAAATGAACAGTCAAATGACATCTGCTATTACTTCCAGATGTCACAGAC